TTGGATTATTAGTTTTCATTTCCCAAAAACAAATCAGCACTTCAAGAGTTCAAGAATTATGCATAGATGTACTGTTCTGACTCATGAAATCCATCTGTAATGTGTAATCTATAACTTAGTAAAAGAAAATATAAAGATTGTTTTTTTGGTACACCAACGGGTAAGTTATTTCCATGTCTAGGATTTATTTCCTTTAAAAAGACATATGTTTACTGCAAAAGAAAACTCTAATAAATAAAAGAATTGAAATAAAAACAGAGAAAATTTCAAAGAAATCACTACATGGGACAAAGGAATTGGGTTGTATGCTGCAATCGTTGAGTTTACGATTGAGAAAATGTATTCTTCAATCTGAATTTATAAGAACCGAGAAGAAATAGCCACCTTCGGAGATGAAACTCTGAAGGCCTTGGGTAGAGATGGATCAGTGAAGGCGAGAAATGGAGAGAAACAATAGGCGAATCGGAAACCGAGTCCAAATAGAAAGGAGAAGAGGCAAGGTATGTAAGAGATGAAAGAAGAAATAGCAGATGTTCAGGGAAGAGCTAGCGGTAAAGAAGAGGTAGAAGATAACTCTCAAGTGTACGTGAGAATTACTAATCCTAGAGGGGTTTACAAAAATACCCCCGATCATGAGCGGGAAAGTGACTTAAGTCGCTTAATATATATATAGACTTAAGTCGCTTAATATATATATAGATTGTGGTGATATAAGCATTAGTTTGATACGTAGTACTACGTATATAATGAGAATGACTCTTGCAAATTATCATCTAAAAACTGTTGGTGTAAGCAATATATATATGGTTGACCTGTAAACTTAATTGATTGAACGACTCTTCATATTCTTGTCAATTAGTAGTGAGTGTTTGCATTTGCTTCAAAAAGCACTTTTCAACTTTTAGCTTAAAAAAGCTGAAAATAGTGTTTTCAAATGGCAGCTTCTGCTTAAATTAATCACTTAAAAGTTAAAAACTTGAAGCAGGTAGAAGGGTGCTTTAAATTGCTTTTCACTTTTTCTATTACACAAAAAACACTTATTTTACCAAACACTACCAACTTTTATTTTTTCAGAATCACTTTTTTCTCAAACACTACCAACTTTTACTATTAAGTACTTTCTCCAAAATCACCTTTTTAAAGTAGATACAACCACAAAAACTCTCGTAGTTTTTTCTTCACCCCGTCGAAACGTTCTCTTTTGGCCTAACACTTGCTCTAATTTATTTCCGTGATGCTCTTTCACATTTCTATTAATTATTGGAACATTCTTAGTGTACATGACTTGTATACAAATTGTACACACAACCCCCTAGTTTCCTGTGTACTTAGGCAATTCGTTTAAAAAGGAACATGACTTAGATGTCAAATTGTTTGTGTACACAGGCAATGTACATATTTTGTGTGCATCTTGTGTACATCAAGAATGGTCCATAATTATTACTCCGCCATTTATTGTGATTATTAGGCTCTTTAGTTGATGGCTGCCGGACTAGATTTATTAGGCTCTTTTGGTTACTTCCCCAACCATAAGATACATAAGTCTTCCTTTTGCTTGAGTTTTCTGAAAAATGATAACAAGTCTCAAATGGTTTTAACTTTTAAGAGCATATTAGAAGAAGTATCCATGGGTATTGATACGTAAGTCTTCTTTTTGCTTGAATTGGTAAGTTATCATATTATTACTTACAAGTTACAACTAATGAAAGCCGACCCGCGGCCCTTTTAGTTTTTAGGTACACCGATTAGCATAAAAAACATACTCCGTATGACCTAATTGTTAATTTTTTTTTGTAAGTATAGTTTAACTACATTCCTCATTGACAAAAAAACTACATTCCTCAATATTCCAAGCTAAGGTAGTACACTAGTACGTAGAGATATAGGGGGCTACCGTCCCTCCAACAATTTTTTTAGTGTATATATATTAGTATATGAAAAATAATTTTTGCCCCCAATTTTTTTTTGAACCCCCAACATGAATTTCTTGGGCCCGCCCCTGATTACCATAATATCATTAAACCTGTTAGACTTTCAAAATCTAATGACACCTGAACCCATACAACCTCAAAATTTAGTTTGATACTCCGTATTAATTACTCCCTCCGTCCCGCTATGATTGTCCCATTTTATCTTTTCGATCCGTCCCACTAAGATTGTTACATACCTTATTTGGTAAAATTTGTGTGGTTCTAAATCATTCTTACTTTATTCTTACTTTATCAATTCAATATCAACCACATAAATCCACTTTTATTAATAACCGTGCCAGTTTCTCTTGTCCCAAACTTAGGGGGACAGAGGTAGTAGTATCTATGCTATTATATGATCCCAGCAGTTGTAAGTAACATTTTGTCCCATAGTTTATTCGTAATAATACTAAGTACTCCCCCGTTCCGTTGAAAATGTTCTCACTATCCTTATTTTGGTGTCTCATTTATAAGTTCTTATTGCATTTTACAAAATAATTTATTCACTTTAATTACACATTTACTCAAATTTCTCTTTTCTACTCATTGCATATCAAGTCTCACAATTTCCCCTTTCCCGAACTTACTATAATGTATTAATCTAAAAACTTATGTGTAAACTCCTAATAGGGCAACTCATTATTTCCCAAAATTATATTCTTGTATATGGTATAAGTTGCTTAGGGTTTTGATTCCTTTCTCTCTACTTGGATGGCGTCGCTTGCTTAGTCAACGATGCCGTCACAGGCGCCACTTCAACAGTGCTGCCGCAGTCCCTAGCCACCATGAAGCATGTTGCTACTCTTCCGCCAACGTCTGCCACAATAGCCCCAACACAAGGTGCAAGCAACGACTCTCCGTCCCTGACCCACCTTTCTTACGCGATGGAGCCTCAGTCCACCTCAACTCTAAACTTTGCCAAAGTTAACCAGCACGGGGCAGGGCCGTCCCTGGTGCTGTGCAGGCAGTGCGGTCACACACGGCCCAATTTGCCCTTCTGAATCAAATAAAAAAATCCACTACATGTAAGAATCGAACTCGGGTTGGATACGAGGAGGATTTAGTGGCTTACCAGCTTACCAAGTTAACTAATTGTAATATTTTGGTCATTAGCTGTACAAATATATATGATCTTTAGTAAAATCAATTAACAATACTTCCAATTCATTGTATTACTCGACGTATATGCTTTTTTAAGTACGGTATTATTTGTATTATTGCTTTACTAAACTATCCTAATCCGTATATACATTTGTAAGTTACTTTCTTCATTTCCTTTCCTTATAGTTACAATTCTTATTAATTTAGATTTCTTTTATTATGATACTTTTATTTAGCAATCAAAATAAGTTTTTCATTACATTTTATACTTTTTGTATTTTTAAGTTTATTATTTTCACTACATGTGTTATATATAATTACTCCATCAATCCCAAATTGAGTTGTAAAATTGACTTTTATGAGTCAAATAAATTCATTTTATTCACTTAATTGGGATATCAATTTTTAATTAAATTTTAAATTGAATTTTTAATATAGGGCCTTTTATTTAATTTCGCACAGGGCCTTTAATATTCCAGGATCGGCCCTGAGCACGGAGAATAATAAAGTAAAAATTGTGTGGTTGGGGTTTGTGCAGAGGAGAGAAATAATAGAAACCACAAAATAATTGATTAAAAAGGAAAGCGACAAAGTTTTTTGGGACGTCCCAAAAAGAAAAGATGACAAAGTTTTAAGGGATGGGGGAAGTATTATTTATTTGATTATGTTATTACTTTTAAAATATTATATTATTTTTAATACTTTTAATATTTTGTAGTTAACTTCATCTTTTTTACATTTTACTAAACATTTAGTTTTTCTATTTAAAAACATGAATTGGGTAACTCCTGGAGTTTGTAAAAATTGGAGTTTGTTCAAATTTAATAGAGATGGTGTATAGACTATAGAGTGAGAGCCTACTGCCCAGTCTAGGGTTGAATCGAATCGAGTCGAATAATGAAATTTTGTATTTGTATTTGTTTAATTTTTTCGAATACGAATTCGAATTCAAATATGAAACGAACATTAATTTTGATTTGTATTTGTATTTGTTTAACAATACGAATAGTTAACGAATCATATACGAATATCGAATCGATTTGAGCATAGGTTAAATATTAGTCAAATATCACTTTAAAATAATTTTTTTATTCTCCGTATTTTTATGTTGTAAATGCATGCTATGACATAATATGTGTATTTAGAATTTAAATTTAATGAATCAATGCATTTTCAGATGGTGCACAGTATAATAAATTGAATTAATTTTATGATGGTTAATAAATATAAATCTATTTCAAACTTTTTGGAATAAACACTAACACACATATTAGAAAGACAACTAACTCTAATTTTATTCTTCAAATCAAATACATAATTATTTGTATTGTATTTGAAAGACATTTGAATCAAAAAATTGTTTAGTATTCGTATTTATATTCTGAGTTATTACAAACGGACTTGGAATCTGTATGCAAAAATGTATATATGAGCCACACTTTGAGAGTATAGCTATCTTTTAAAAGTTATTATAGTGTTATTACTATTATTATTAATATTGATATTAATATTACCATTATTATTAATCGAATATATTTGATTAATATTCGAATCGAATACACTGATATTCTTATTTGTATTTGATAATAACTCGAATCAAATTTAATATTCTTATTTGTATTTGTATTTGAATATTCCGAATTCGAATCATCCTATACGAATTTGAATCATCCTATACGAATTCGAATCGCGAATCGAGCACAAATTATTTGATTCATTTACCACCCGCAGACTCTGGACTCTGGAGCATGTATTCCAGTGGTTCGATTCAATGTATGGTTAATTTTTGAAAAGAAAAGATTAGTTACTCTATTTTTGAAAAAGAAAAACTCTAAAAATGAAAAAGTGATACTCCGTACTACTTTTAGTCTATTTGTGTAAAATGCCCATTTTTATCCTTTGAACTCTATTAGAATTCTTCTATACTCTTTGTTGCACCAACGATGAACATCTCATTCATTTCTAGAAAACAAACTTAGATTGGGATCTTAAACATGAACACCAAGGGGGTGTTTGGATCTGATTCTCAAAACTGATTCTGCTCCTTCAGGAAGCAGAAGCAGAAGCTGGAGTGTTTGGGTGAAATTCCAGAAGCACTTCTGGAGCTCTAAAGGCTGGTTTGCAACCACTTTAAAAAAAGCACTTCTCAGCTTTTGGCTTAAAAAAGCACTTATTTACCAAACACTACCAATTTTTTATTTTTCTCGGCTTTCGTGTCAAAAGTGCTTTTCCACTTTTTATACACCAAAAGCACTTATTTTACCAAACACTACCAACTTTTACTTTTCAAAATCACTTTTTTCTCAAACACTATCAACTTTTACAAATAATCACTTTTTCCAAATCACTCCAAAAGTGCTTTTTTTAAAGCAGAAGCTGTTGCAAACACTCCCTAATTTACTCTCAGAATCAGTTTTTTTAGAAGCTGGGGGGGTACCAGCTTCTGAAAACTGATTCTGATTCTGCTTCTGCTTTTAAAAAAGAAGCAGAAGCAGGATCAGTTCCAAACACCCCCCAAATTCATCTGTAGATTTTCAGCTCAGTTAAAATGAGAGCGTATACATATATAATCCATTCTGATCCAAGCGTAAATGACCGCCAAACTATTACAGCAGTCAGCAGCTGCTTCTTTAGAGAAAGGCCACCCTCCAGGCTAATCAATGCATCGTTTTTATTCAGGACTTTATGCCTTCAAAACTCTCCTCTCTAATAACCATTACAGCAGCTGGCACTTGCTATTATTTCCCTTTGCTTATAATTGGTTCAACCATACAGCTTGCACTATGAATCAAGTACCTTATTTTTCAGAACCAGGAGATATACGTGCATCAGCATCGACCATCGAAGCGCTAGAGGCCTGTGATGCTTCTAAGTTCTCAAGGACTCCCTCTCTCTTTTTTGGCATCAACAAGAGGCAAGCTACACAACAAATAAATTAAAACTCCATAAAGTTCATAACCACCAGCAATGGGGGCTTGAAAGGGTCACACATCTAAAAAGGTTTAGTGTCCATGTTAATTATACTCCATTCGTCCCTTAAAACTCTATCACATTTGACCAACACGGAAAATAATAAAGTTAAAACTGTCTAGTTCAAGTTTATGTAGAGAACAAAAAAAATAAGAACCACAAATTTATTGATTAAAAACTCAAAAGTTGCACAAGGGCGGAGGGGGTTATTGACTTAAAAACTTAAAAGTTGCATAACAGTGTGATATGTTGATTTGATAAGCTAAGCGTGCGTTACAGGCGTTGAGTGACTGGAGAAGTTGAATTGCTCTAGCCTATGATGATATTCCAGAGACATTCATAGAAATTGGATGGAAGAAAACTCCAAAGAATGCTATTTATTCAATTCCAACTTTGTCCTTCGAATTACATTATTGTTTCCTATAAAGGAATAACAATTGTGATTAATTAATAAGAAAAACACAAACATTTTCATAATTAGGAATGCTAAATAAAACAAAACAAGACAGCGAAGCAAACAAAATCATTGTAATCTTAGACCAGTGATTCGATTCCGTAGATTACTCTTCAAAATTAAACATTATCATATCACATTAAAATTTAACAAAACTTGCAAATGTAATCAGAATTTAAAACACATTAAAGACAATAGAGAGTTATACGGTGCCCTTCTAAACAATTGAAATACGGAGTAGTAGTTAACAATAATAGTTCTCTCTGGATATATAAGTATACTGTATACATAAAAACGTGTCTGCATGTGGGGAGGATACAGGGTGGGATACTGCATGAGTGTATGGGCATGGGTGGGCGTGTGTCACACACACATATAATTCAGCGATTATTAGAAGGGCACATCAACAAGACATACATAGAGTGGGGTCACCCCAAGCTTCTAATAGACATAGGATTATAGGAAACAAGCCCAAAGTTAAGTAGAAAAGAGCATTTAGGTCAGTAGTCATATTGAGGGGCATCTAAGTGGCACGGAAACACGAAACGAGAAATGTGAAACAGGAAAAAAGAAACACAAGAAACATGATTTCTAAAAATATAGGATATGAAACATAGAGGAAACGCGTAAAATTTTAAAACTATAAGGATATATTTATAAATGTTTTTTCTTATGTCTACATGAGTATTTTCATTTGTATATATGCACATAATTTTTTTCATCTAACTTGTTTAATAACTCAATAATAAAAACATTCAATATGTTCAAATTTAGAAATCATTACATATTAGTACATAGTTGAACTTATAATGCAATACATTTCTAGCAAAGTATTGTGTTATCAAATGTCACAGTGTTGGCAAGATGAAATACTACAAAAATTCACTAAGTTTTTCAAAAAGACACTATTTCCCATCACAAAAGCTGATAAAGATAAAAAAAATGAAAACCCATGGTTTCCGAAATACTAATTATTTAGGAATTAGGTTTCCCAACTCTTCTTGATTATTGAAATGACCGCAAAACGGGAATTTGAAATTTTCAAGTTTCTCAAATGCTTAAGAGTTTCCAAAATGGGAAATGTGAGCTACAGTCCACGGGGAGTTTCCATGCTTCATAGAGGGGCATTTAATGATCTTGTACAACCAAGATTGAGGTCCACTTTTAAGTGGGAGATACATATTGAGGGGCATATCATAAAAACCACAATTATATTATGTAATATTCCCTCCGTTCCCTTTTTAATGTCCCGTTTTACCATATTGGGATGTCCCTATCTAATTGTCTCATACCTTATTTGGTAAAGTTTGTGTGGCTCAAAATCATTCTTACTTTATTAATTAATATCAACCACACAAACCCACTTTTCTTAAAACTCGTGCCACCCTCTTCCGTCCCAATATAAAATGGACGGGGCGGAGGTAGTACATCTTTTCTTATTAAATTGTTATTGTCTTTCTTAATCACATTAACTCACTTTCATACTATTTCCATTCTTTAAGAAGTGAGAGCATAACTTTTTCACAAAGATTAAGAAATGTAATAGAGGGTAATGAATAGAGTAGAAAAGGTATGAAAGAGAAGAAGAAAAAGTCAAAGTAAAACATGTAAGAAAGAGAAGGAGAAGAGGTAAGCTAAATGTTTCTAAAAGAGAAGGATAAGAGCAAACTTATTGGGGAGCAACCAACTAGCGGATAAATGCTAAGGAGCCGGAGGCACTTTCGTTGGGCAGTTAGGCACTTAGGCCAACTACGTAGAATAGAATTCTAATATAAATATAGATAAACCCCTAGGGGAGAAGCACGATAGTCTTAATCAAAATTACTCTCTATCAATTATTGTATTCACCACAAATCTATTAATTCAATTTCAGCTTTAGCTTATCATTTACCGTATAATTTCTTGTGCGATTCACATTTTCTCTTATTTGATTGTTAGAAGAAATTGTTTATTTCTTGGTCAAACAAGCCATCATCATCACCATCACTCCTCTTCTTTGTTGATGCATGCATCAGCTTTTATACTTTCCTGGGTAGCAATCTATATCCCATTGTCATCAATTGGTGTCTAAAGTGCCTCAATTCTAGATCTATAGGTCTTCAGGTAATGATCTATCTATGGAATGGATTTAAATAACGACAAATATAGTATGCTCAACAAGGAAAGATCCCTCTTCTTCAACTTCTTCTCTCTTCCACATATATCACATAATACCTAGTATACGAGCTTAGTGTACTAGAGGCAACTAACTCCATGTGCCATATCTTATGCACTCAAAATATGTGTTTAAGTGTGATTTTATGTGGTTGAAATCAAGATGTGCTTCTGTGTGATTCACATTTACAGAGGTAATCAATCCACTTTCAACATAACATCCCTTGAGGAGCTACATTTTGAGTGGAATGATAAAAGATAGTATATTTATCAATATGCCTTTTCTTATCCTAAAGTTATTTTTAAGTTTCTAACTCTTAATCATATTCTTATTCACTTTCCTACTGGACTCATGTGTTTTGTATAAACTCTGGTATACAATCAATATAGTTGTTTATTATCAACACAATCAATATAGTTGATAATTCCATTATACAGCTCCTACCTGAAAAGCGGGATATTGGGCAATAGGCACAATACTTATAGGAACTCAGCAGTGAACAATGCCTTTCGATTTCCAATTTCCTTAATTATGGATAATTTGTTATGAATGAATGGTGGAACCACATATTACATAAACCTTAGATTTCTTTACAGCTACAAATGCCATGTTCTAGATCCTTTAAATTCAAACTGCAAAATCCCAAAAGGGGTGCAAAGTGAATTATTTAAACCTGGGCACGTCAAGATTGACTTTGTATCTCATAATATAATATCATCAACACACATTCATATATCAAACCAGATTATCTTGCAATAGGAAATGAGAGAAAATTCAGGTACAGCAGGAAGAACCTCCAATGGAGAAATTGACGGCCAAGAGCATAGGCCAGAGGAACTTGTACCGCCGAGCGAATGGTTCCTTGAGTGGCCGGTTGGTCGATGGAGGAGGCCTACTCGCCGTCGACAATGACGGCGCCATTGTAAACGACGCTTTACGTTTCCTCTGCGCTGCAATATACAGAGCAGTAATGCGTATAACAGCTAACAAATCAGCCTTCGTTGCTCGAATAATTAATTTATAGAGAAAAGGAAAAAAAATAAAAAAAGAGGATAGTCGAAAAGAAAATATCTCGATAGAGAATTAGGGATAGTACCCTTATTAGGTTTGTCCATGTAAAGCTTGGGAGTATCTTCTTCCGTCATTCTTACTCAGACTTGGTTGACTATTAACCGCCGGTCATTCCGCCATTTCCCCGCTTGGTTCTTCGTCCTCGATGTACGGCTATAAACCAACCGAACGGAAAATCAAGTACTCCATGAGCTGGACGTCAAATTGTGAATCAGAAGACCTACGGGCTACGGGCATATGGACTTTGGAGTGTTAAAGTGCAAAAGTACTTTTTTTTTTTGTTGCTAAATTAGGATGTTTTTAATTTGAAGGTAATTTGCTAATCTAGTCTGATGTAGTTTGTTTAAGTTTGATTTGATCCAATCTGAATTGGTCTGGTCTGATTTGGTAAATGTCTGGTTTAATAACTATGAAAGTCTGGTCTAATCTAGTCTGTTTAAGCCCAGTCTGATCTGGTTTATTTAAGTCTGGACTGGTCTGAGACTGAAAACAGTCCAAGTAAAAACATGCTTATTCCTAGAATCGGTTTTTTAGAAATTGGGAGAGACCAACTTATGAAAAACTCATTCTGATTCTGCCTCTACTTTTAAAAAATAAACAGAAGAAGAATCCGTTTCAAACATCCCCTAACGAGTGTTCGGGTCTGCTTCTAAAAAACTGCTTCTGCTCCTTGAGTGTGCAGAAATAGATATTGGAGTGTCTAGGGGAAAGTGTAGAAATACTCATGGGTGCTCCAAATTACTCCTAAAATTAGTTTGTTAGAAGCTAGGAAGATTAACTTCCGAAAAATTGTTTCTTATTTTGATTTTGGATTTTTTTAAGCAGAACATAATCAATTTTAATCACCCCTAATTTTGACTAATAATTAAGATTGATAAGCTGAAAACTAGAATTACCAAACGGACCCTTGTTATACAAAATTCTCTTAAACAAGCGGCGACACAAGTGTATTGTATGTTAAATTATTGTACATGAGTTTCCTGATATTTTAAAAGTTTAAGACTATGTTTGGCTATCAACATTTGAGCCAAAATGTCAATATACATTGAACATAAAATGCTAGAAACGGTGTGTTTGACGATTAGCAATTAACGAGTTATGTTAACAAATTGTTAATAGTGGATTCTGTCAGCGAGTTTGACTAGCGGGATGAGTTTATGAGTCCCAAATGCTAAACCCAAAATGATGTTGTTTACAATATTTCTATTTTAGCGAGTTCCATCCAAAAACGCTAGAGCCAAACAACCATTTATCAAACAACATGAGTCAGTGTTTTCACTTATTGACAATGTTAAAAAAACGTCAAATTGTCGTTTTTTTGGATGAAACACATTTCCAAAGAAGCTCAAAATGCAGCGATTGGATATGGCGTTTCTCCTAATCCGAAGAAAAACAATTCAAACACATCCTAATTGTAGTTAATATAGATTTTGAAAACTTTAGCTGTATTCAAATTTACAATCACTTTTTTATATGGTTGAAGTTGAAGCAAATCAGTTGAAGCACATCCTATGTGCATCTTTCATGATGCTTTCACTGTACATGATTGTATAGATTGTTGATAATAAGTACTGTCATCGGAATTTGGCTTAGGTAATTTTAAACAATATTCATTTTAATCTTGAGCTACTTATGAAAGATGCAACACCCCTCATGAATTCAGCCTCTTACACTGCACCCGTTTCACATTCACAAAGAAAGATTCTTACGAAGTATTTGATTAAAAAATCTCACAAATAAAATCTCTCACATCCGCACATAAAATGAGTTTGAAAATGACAATATATCACATAAGTAGTTTTGGCTTATTAGAAAAGATAAATGAAAAGATAACTGTTACATTATATTCATAATACACACGCAACTCGCACTTAACTAATTTTTTCCAATATAGTCTGTGCAATCACACACACCACACACACATATGCAAATGGGAGAGTGTAGGAAACTAAGAATGAACTCACAATGAATTTGCTCCTCTCTACAACCATACCCCAAACATGTATGTAAATGGGAGCGTAAGAAACTATGAATAAATACCTAGAACCCACATATGCGTGATGCGCTACTACGTGGGGTTTTAAGTATTATCACGTCCCATTTACGTGGGGTTTTAAGTATTATCACGTCCTATTTTATAAGATACATTTTCCTTTTTAGATCATTCAAAAAATATGAACACTTTCTTAAATTGAACTTTACTAGTTTTACTTTCTCACTTTATATACTCTGTATCATTTTAATATTTACTCCCTCCGTCCCAATTTGATGATCCTGTATTTCCTTTCTGAGCCGTCCCAAATTGATAGTCTCATTTCCCTTTTTGGAAAGAAATATGTGGTCCACATCATTTCACCTTTTTTTACTCAAATCTCAACCACAACTTTTACCTTTTCAACCACTTCCTTAATCTTTGAGCCCAAAAGAAATGGGATCATCAAATTGGGACGGAGGGAGTACTTTTTATAGATCCAAACTTACATTTTTATTTTTTGAGGATGAAATCGTAAAACAACCATATTTTCTTTTATTTTCTTAAAATCCGCACTAAACCCACATGTATCTTACATTATTATACGAAAGAAGTATTATTCTCTGTTCTTTAATTCTTGCAACGATTTGACTATAATTATATTTAATTATGTATTATTAAACATTATAAAAAGTTGATATTTTGAAAATTCACATTGATAGGAATTCAATAACATTTTATATGTAATAATTTGATTATGTATATTAGTAGAAAATCGTGGTCAAAGTAAGGTCAATGAATAGTGCAAAAATCACAATGTTGCAAGAATTAAAGAACGGATCGGAGAAAGTAGGTATTAACAAACACTATTGGAATGAGTTATAAGCTTTACTGCACCAACGGTTTTCCTACATGGTTTGATTGATATTTTTCTGAGAGTTCTCTAGAGCCTAGACTAGGTCCTTATTATCATTTGTGCAATTGCATTTTAGAATCCATTTTTGGTTTAGGATGTTTTTACTTGGACTATAATTTTGCTTGTCTGGTCTGGTCTGATCTGATTTGGTCTAGTTTCCTTGTATTTTTATAATTATCCAAGTTTGTTCTGGTCTGATCTGTTCTGGTTTGTTCTGGTCTGGGACAAATTATAATCCAAGTAAAAACACCCTTACTTCCCTTGACGGAGAAGTTGGATATAATTTTTTGCATTTAATTCGATATTTACAACTTATGTCACATGGTATTTATAATCTATTTTTTGTTTACTTCCCTTGAAGATTACAGATTGTGGCCTCCCAATCCGGATATGATCTTGACATTTTGATATTTACAACTTATGTCACATTATATGTTTCTCTATTTGCCACGTAGGAGTTTGGTCACATAATTAAGCTCTCCTGGAAATAGTAAATTTTGTGGTGAACAAATTAATGCACCCTGAAAATAGTTCTAGAGGTCATGTATCATTTTCCCAGCCCCTTTTAAACTCCAGCTGCTGAAGTGTTGTTTGGCTGTTCCCACATACTGATAAGCAGTTAGTAGTCCTTTGCTCCTATGTTAAATTGCTGATAGGCACTATGTATTTATTAGGTATTTTCTGTTACATTTTATTTTCTTTTGTAAGTAAATTTTAATAAGTTTTTTTGTTATGTTGATACTTGAAATTTTTGTCTCAATTAAATACTACGTAACATGCATGGTTCATAAGCTAGGATTGTGACTTCATATTCATCTAAAAAACCAAACGTGAAAGTTCGATCGGGTAGTTATTTTTCATATTGTTTTTCTCCATAAATATTACTAAATTAAATTCAAAAGATAAAAGTGTGACTTATTTTAAAATATTCCAAAAAGTGACAGATTCAATGACTAGTTTCGAGTGACTCATCATCTAATTAACAATGACTTGTCATTCTAAAATACATACCCTATATAGTGACTCTTGTTTAGTTACTCGTACTAAGTGACTAATCATATTTTTGTCTAAAAAACATGACTATGTGAGAATAATAAACCGGCTTAACCAGACTGGTAGCCCTGAGAGTATATTTATAATAAATAAGTTGCCAAATACAATTAGGAAACTAACTAATAATTAATTCTACACTATTACACCCCCTCAATCTATGCATGAGGAACAATGCGTAGATTGTCTCGTAAAAATAAAAACTGCTGAGGAGCCAAGCTCTTGGTGAAAATATCATCCAGCTGAAACTTCGTTGGAACATATTGTACTAAGAGATCACCATGAGCCACACGTTCCCGAACAAAGTGATAATCAATGTCAATGTGCTTGCTGCGAGCATGCTGGATGGGATTAGCAGATAAATATGAGGCAGATACATTATCACACAACAGACGAACATGGCTATAAATAGGAAAGCCGAGTTCGAATAAGATGGAGTGAATGTGTAATGTATCCTGAACTGTGTATGCAATGGCTCTATATTCAGCTTCAGTGGACGATCTGGAGACAGTGGGTTGTTTCTTGGACCGCCAGGAAATCAAATTAGGGCCAAGAAAAACAGCATAACCAGATGTAGAGCGACTACTATCAGGACAACCAGCCCAATCAGCATCAGAATAGGCCAGAATAGAGTGTGGATGAGCGGAAGGCTGGAGATGTAAACCGTGATTAATCGTGCCCTGTAGATACCTAAAAATTCTCTTTACAGTCAACATATGTGAAGTACGAGGAGCATGCATAAATTGAGACCAAATGAACAACATATGTAATATCAGGTCTAGTCATAGTTAAATACTGCAATGCACCTACCACACTCCGTAGCATCTGCAAGTAACTCACCATCAGTGAGAGACTGAGAGATAACTTAGTTCTGCTAGGTAATGGCGTGCGAACTGACTTAAGAGTGTGAAGATGAAAGCGGGTAAGAAGATCTGACACATATTTGGCCTGAGATAAAAATAAACCAGAAGAATTTCGCACAGCCTGAACCCCCAAGAAAAAATGAATATCCCCTAAATCTTTCATAGCAAAATATTTCCCTAAAAGAGAAATAAAGTTACTAATAAGATTAGAAGAATTGCCAGTAATAATAATGTCATCCACATACAGTAATAAATAAATGACATGAGTAGCCTGGAGAAAAATAAACAAGGAATTATCAGCACGACTACACACAAAACCATGAGTCAAAAGAAAGCTACTGAACCGATGAAACCAAGCCCGTGGAGCTTGTTTAAGAGCATAAATGGCCTTGCGCAAAGCGACAAATATGATTGGGAAATTGAGGATGAATAAACCCAGGTGGTTGACGCATATAAACTTCCTCTGTGAGATGACCATGAAGAAAAGCATTTTTAACATCCAACTGACGAATATGCCCATTTATATGAAATAGCTAAGGTCAAAACAATTCGAACAGTAGTGGGTTTGACAACAGGACTAAAGGTTTCAGAAAAATCAATCCCTGTGTGCTGTTTAAACCCTTGGGCAACCAGACGTGCTTTATGTCGTTCAACAGAACCATCAGAAAGATATTTAGTTTTATAAATCCATTTAGACACAACCACATTTTTACTAGAGTCAAACGGCACTAATTCCCATATGTTATTAGCAATAAGTGCATTAAATTCCTCAGCCATTGCAGCTCTCCATTTAAGATCTTTATTAGCCATAGAAAAGCAAGTCAGATCAGGAATCGATCAAAACCGCAATGTTTAAATTAAAAATTATTTTGGGTTTAAAAATTTCTGATTTAGACCTTGTTTGCATGGGATGGATATTTTTAATGATTAAATTATCGGAGACATGTACATTACCAACCTTGGCATCGGTCCTAGACGATGAGCCAAGCTCGGTATAGCTGTCCAAGTCAGCAGCTGCTGGTGGCACACTACCAGACTGATTCTCGGTCATGGAGGTGTCCGGCGTACCAGACTGCTGCCCGGAGGTTTCTAACGCAGTTGTCTGCTGGCCATAGGTGTCCAACTCCGGCGAGGGGTCCACTAGTGGTGATGATGCACATGTGCCCGAATGAAAATCTTCCGGGGGCAGTAGCGGAACAGTAGCGGTCGACAACGGTGTAGAGGAGTAGCTCATCCTAAAAGGTCAACCTGATAGGAGGAGTAGCCCATGTGTTAATATAGCACTTCGTTCATCCAAACTTTTCCGGTGGGACATTTAACACCCCTCCTCACGACCAGACACTTCGTCTGGATCGTGTCATCATTCATTTTTTTTCATCAGTCCGTTTTTTTTTTCATCCGACCGTTTTATAGTCGTGTCATCATTTTTCATAAGGGGCCCCACGTCACGGATCGATTTGGCTCTGATACCATATTAATGAAAATCATCATTTTAATTTTATGATCTAATAAATTTTCCACCAGACACTTGAAAGATTTAAAATGATTAAAAACTTCATTTTTACGACACATGGGATGTATCCAAGTAAAGCGAGAGAAGTCATCAATAAAAGAGACATAATACTTAAAACCAGAAGAAGATAAAATCGGGGATTGCCAAACATCTGAATGTATTAAAAATAAAGGTTTACTAGCACTATGAAAAACATCCTGAAATGGTAATCTCTGAGATTTACCCAAACGACACGACGAACAATCACGATTAAAAGAAGACAAACTACATAGTTGACCCGACTTCTTAAGACCATCTAAAATTCTACTGCCACAATGTCCCAAGCGACGATGCCACAATGGTCCAGGCGCCGCGCTAGAGACTAAAGCCAAAGGTGGTGGAGGAGATAGGCGAATGGGGTAGAGACCGGATCCACTACTGGAAGCCTGAAGAAGAGTTGCCCCCGTGGTTTTGTCCTTTAGAAAAACAGAATTTTTATCAAATATCACCACGCAATTATTGTCAGAACATAGCTTTTGAATGGATAATAAAATATATTTAATATGAGGAACATGAAAAACATATTTTAAATGAAGAGGCCGTGACAAGGAATTAATGGAAATATTGCCAATATTTTTAATGGGTAAATTTGTTCCATCAGCTACAGTAACAGTAAGTGGTCCGGAATAAGCAGATTTATTAACTAATGTACCTTCCTAAGGAGTCATATGCACGGAAGCACCGGAGTCTGGGAACTAGACAACGTCATTAGTATCATCCATGGGTGCAGCAAGAGCAGGAGCAGACGACTGGGAAAAACGAGACGGACAGGAAGTAGCAGAATGACCTGGTGAATAGCAAATATGACAAACAACTGGCGAGGGAATGGAACCAAATTGTCCATCAACTAAAGGTGAGCCTGCATAGCTATGATTAGTGCCAGGAATAAAATAGGGATGCGTATGTAACGATGAAAAAACCATATTACATATAATTGAACCTGGACGTCCATGAGGAGGAGCTGGCGGATGATAGGCTTGCGGCTGAAAATACCCCCCATGGGGCTGCTGTCCAGGCCGTGGCTGGTAGTAGCCAGTCTGCTGGCCGTACCCGGGAGCCACGTATTTCGGCTGGTGCTGCTGGCCGTATCCCCGTCCTCGGCCGCGGGTGCCTCTGCCACGCTGACCACGTTGTCCTCGTCCCTGATTATACTGATTGCCACCTCTCGGATCATGTCCAGGAGATGCCGAGGCCGCGGGCTGAGCAACAAAAGCAGCGGGCGATGACGCCTCCTGGGAGCAAAGATAAAGAATGTGTTGCTCTTGCTCAACCAGCCATCTCCGTAGTTTATCAAAAGTGAGTCCCTCCGGAATAGAAGTTAATGTGGTAATTATAGACTCATAATCAGGACCAAGACCGAGAAGTGTTTGCTCAATTATATCTTTCAGGGAGACCGGTGAATTAATCGTGGCAAGGGCATCAGTAATTTTCTGAATTTCACGCATGTATTGCTCCATGGTTTGATTTTCCTTCTTTTTAGTATTATTGAACATGCGTTTTAATTCCATAGAACGAGCCATGCTGGCAGCCATAAATCTAGATTTCAGTCGTTCCCAGATGGTAGCAGAATTTTGAAGAGTATGAACTTCAACAAGTATATCACGGGATAAAGTAGCAAACAGCCAAGAACGAACTGTTTGGTCTAACTTTAACCAATAATAATACTCATTGTTCACAACTTCTCTACGATTAGCATCAAAAATAAATTGAGGAGGGGCAGTGATAGTACCATCTAGGATGCCCATGAGACCGTGAGATACCAAAAACGATTTAAATTGGGTGCGCCAGGGCAGATAATCTTCAACTGCATCAAGCTTAGTGGTAACGATGTTCGTAATATTGGGAGCCGAAAAACCCATAGCCTGTGCAATTGCCTCCAAAGAACCGGTGCGGGCTGCTACCGGTCGGCCTATCGGTGAAACCGTAGGCGGCGGCGCTAAGCCTTGCGCTCCAGAAAATGTGGGACCGCCAAAAAGCATCCGGGAGGAGGAGGATGTCGGAACCGACCGTGTGGCTGAGTTCTGACTGGTCGAATGAGTGGCAATAACCGGAGAAGACCAATCAAACACCGGTGGAACCCAAACCGAGGCATCAAAAGTTGAGTTGCTCATCGGAATGGATGCTGAAAACGGCGGCTGCAAGACAGTGGATGTCGAGCCAAACGAGAGAGAGAACGGAGCAGACGAAGTAGAGAAAGCTGTCGGCATGGTGACGGGCGCTGCCAAGGTGAGAGGCACTGCCGTCGTCTGAGTCTGTGCGGCCGTAGTGGTCATCGCTGCCGTTGTTATCGGCGCGGTGGTGGCGGTGGTTTGTCCAGCGGCGGCGGACGAAGCCATAAGGACCGAAAAGAATTAGGGTAAAGGGATGACTCTTGATACCATGTGAGAATAATAAACAGGCTTAACCAGACTGGTAGCCTTGAGAGTATATTTATAATAAATAAGTTGCCAAATACAATTAGGAAACTAACTAATAATTAATTCTACACTATTAGACTAATCATATTTTTCTTCGGGAAAACTTTATTAGTTCTATGAACATGTTGGATTAATTTATGATGGTTACTATGTTTTTTACTCTATCTATCCAAGGGAAGCTTTACTTGAAATGCTTAATGAAGGACTCAAGCCAAATATGTACTGTGTACACATTTGTAAGCATTCTAAGGTTTTGTTCGAGCCTGTCCAACTTCGGTTTTGGGAAACAATCAAGTACATGCTCATGTTATTAAGAAGAAAGAACTTGACCCGTGATTGCTAATCTTTACTTTATAGCGTGTTGCCGTGATCTATGCATTTCATAAAGCACAATGTATGCATTTCAATGGAAAACCATCTCAACGGGCATAATTTAATACTCCTGGTGTTAAATTATTCATTTACTTTTATATATTCAATATTGTTATCGTATGTAAACTAATAAAAAGTTGAATTTGTTGTGTTTTTTGTAATAATCAGAGTACAAATAAAAAAGTTATATCACTTTTAAATATAAATGAGTTTTATTTTGGTGGGCCCTATTGGCATGTTTGTTACAATGTTAACTGGATTTCTTGTTTTTCCATAAGCCACCACTTGGAGTGAGTGTTTTTTTAGGGGAGCAGTATTTTGGGAAATGCTTTTGACTTGATCTTATTTTGATAAATACGTAGTACGTATATTTTTATTTAACATTAGTTTAGAAAGAAAAAAACTTTGGAAATAGGTAATAGTTTATTTTATTTAATAATTTAATAGGTAGGTAATGATAGAATGAATCATCATGGTCCAACTAACTAGCTAAGCCGCCCAGAAACAAGAAATCCCTGCGCTTTGATCAAACTAAATGACTAAAATGAGTCAAACCGTGTTTAGAAACTTATCATTAAATAATAAAATATGTAAAAAATAATATAAAAGGGTGGAAATTTGTTGTTTACTTTAAAAATTATAATCATATAATTGAGTTGGAATTAGCTCATTGGATTGGTAGTGGTGACTGTACTTTATCATACATATATAATATGTTCATATTTTGTGTTACTATCTACAAATAGATGATATTTCTCCTAAATACGTCATTGCACATGTTTGTAGTACTTATGAGGTTTGTACAGATAGAATATGAATGGGGATCGGAAAAACTAAAAACTTTGTCGAAAGGACTTATAAATGATGATTTACTTTTAATATCGCGTGATACATCACTACAATTTTGTCATTATTTTTTCCTAACTTGTTCGAATCAAGTAATCCATAATCCAATTCATGAATTTGTTTGATGTTTTTCAATTAATAAATCTATTTGATCCAACAATCGGCTAGAACAATAAATAATAAAGGGAACGATTATCATATTTTCTAGTTAAGTATTTGTATACATTTAAAACCGTTTGATAATTCATTTTTTACTTAACCCCAACTTTTTAATTAAAACTAAGTTATTTATTTCATATCATTTGTTGCTAATTGAAAATGATTAATTATTTTTCGTATAAATATGTTCTTTATTTTATTAGCCGATAACATTTTAATTTAAAAAGCATTATTCAATTGATTTAATCAGTTTAATAAAATAGTGGCGCAGTTACGACTAGATAAGTACCACGGTACTTGTTTTCGTAGTTCCGTATCCAACGCATAAAATTGGCCAGCTAGCGTTACTTGGAAGTCGTATGCATAAGAATGTGACATTTTCATATGAAAAAAACTAGGCGACACAAAAAGGATACACATCTTGGCTAGACTCTTTATTTATCTGTGTACAGAGGAGTTTGTTTACAAAAAATCAACAATTGTGTCTGTGCATAGACGTATATATAAAAACTGTACCATTTTTTATGTATACCGAGAATGATTCTTTTCAAATTTCAAATTTATCCATACATTTATAGATGATTTTTTGTGTACATATCCTTTATAAATTTTTCCTAATTTGTCGTTGTTTTTTTTGTAGTGTTAAATGTGCACAAAAACAAACGTACTCCACATACAAATATATACTAGTACTTCATATGCAACTCGCACGGGTAGCTTAGTTGGTTCAGTGGTGAAAAATTTGGAACAATGACTAAGGTTCGAAACACGCAGCGGCCGTGTGGAGGTTACAACTCCTGCGTGCTTGACTGGAACTCTGATGCGCATGAGTGTAAGGCATATCACTATTGGACCGATTGAGTCACTGTGACTTATTCATCTACCATTCTGTTGGTTCCGGATGTGAGGACTCCTCGGGTGGTGGATTCCACCTTTTACAACAATATACTCCATATGCAATAGCATGCACAAGAGGAATTGGGCTGAATTTATTTCTTCACAAGCGATCATAGAATCGTTCCTTCACAAGCGATCATAGAAATTAAATGGATTAAGCAGAGGGTCCCACCAAATCCAAGACCCAATCAACGGAAGGGGACGGCTGTAAACAAGACCAGTAGGAATAAGATAATCTTGAAGCTAGCTAGGATAGCTTTTTGTATAGATAGACTAGTAATCTCACCCGTGCGATGCACGGCATGAGATTTTTTTTTAATGTATTGTAGTTAATACGGTCCACCACTATAATTATTGACGACACTAAACAATGTCACGCAATAAAGATACCAAAAACGCAATTGACAAAACACATATTTAATATTATGGTGAACTGAGAATACAAAACATCACGGGAAAGTAAAGAAAAAACAACACATAGATATATTCCGAAACAGTGAGACTATAAATATCCATTTCAATCAACCCTAAACGTTGTTGAAAACTTCTTTGAATACCACATTCTGAGTTTTGTTAGTGGTCCGTCCATCATCACCAACAATTAAAATTTTCAAACCACATCGGTTGGTCACCCTAGAAATTGCAACATACAACTGTCCGTGAGTAAATACGGGTTTTTGCAATAACAGCCCAACACGGGACAAAGATTGACCTTGACTTTTATTTATCGTCATCGCGTATGACGTCATTACAGGGTACTGTCGCCGCTGAAATTTGAAAGGTAAGGAAGTATCCGATGGCGTCAAGGACAATCTTGGAATCAGGACTTTCTGTCCGGCACTCACACCAGTCAAAATCTTCCCCTCCAAAACATGATCAGCAAGTCTCGTTAGAATAAGACGTGTACCATTACACAACCCCATAGAATGATCTATATTTCTCAACAGCATGACCGGGGTCCCAACCTTTAACGTCAACTCATGATTGGGCACACCAGACAATTTTATACTATTTAAGAACTCAGGAGTGTGCAGTTCTGCCATAAGATCTGTTGTGGAGTCCAACTTAGAAACAGTGTCAGAACTAAGATATGTCCTTGAAACTTCGCCAACATTAAGCGCCATCATATATTCATTAACAGCTTCGACAACAGCCAGGGTGGGTGCCAAAATTGCACGATCACGCAAACAACTAACATCTGCTGCAGATCTCACATATTCTGGAAAGATGCTTTCTACGATCGCAGCTATAGGATCTCCATCTGTTTGTATCAATAGATCGTCAGGAATAGGAATCAGCACATGGCCATCATTCAAGTCACCAGCAACACCATCACCAACGCTAGCAATCCAATCCGAAAACAGCTTCAAATCGTAAGAATCCGAAGGATTTGTCAAGTTTTGCAAACGCATGTTTTTTGTGAGTCGGAGGACAGTACATTCTGACCAAAGATATGATGAATTAATGGTTGCATTCACGACATCCTGCCTACTCCCACGCGGTATAACCGGCAACACTTGCCGAAAATCACCCCCGAATACCATTGTTTTTCCACCATATGGAAGAGTACCGCAATTCGGTTTGTGAAACCGCATAATGTCCCTCATGCTCCGATCCAATGCCTCAAAACAAAATCTATGTAACATTGGAGCTTCGTCCCATATAATCAACTTACACCGTACAATTAGCTTGGCAAGCGGGCTTCCCTGTTTAATATGACACGTCGAGTCTTCGTTAAGACTTATCGGTATTGCAAATCTAGAGTGAGCGGTGCGTCCTCCCGGCAACAGAAGAGATGCAATACCACTCGATGCAACATTAAGGACAACCTCACCTCTAGACCTAATGGCTGCAGAAAGGGTCTTCCACACAAACGTCTTTCCTGAACCTCCGTAGCCATAAACAAAATATATACCACCAACCTCTTCATCAACAGACCGCATTATTGTATCATACACTTGCAG